AGCAGCAGCAGTTCTAGTCTCACGTCAGCAGCACCAAAAGCAGCAGCAGCAGCAGCAGCAACAGCAGCAGCAGCAGCAGCAGCAGAGCAGCAAAAAAGAAAAGGAGACACAGAAAAGAAAAGAGGAAAACTGAGGGCCTCTTGGGACCCCTTTGTTGACTCCAGCAGCTCAGGTGTCTCCTCACCTGCGGAGACACCCCGCTCTGCTGCTGCTGCTGCTGCTGCTGCAGCAGCAGCAGCAGCAGCAAACCACCACCAACACAAGCGAGATAAACGCCAGTATAGATCTCTTTCTACACCTCAACACAATCGGAGAGGAGACACTGCAGCAAGAGACAGTTCTCAGCAGGCTGCTGCTGCTGCTGCTGCTGCTGCTGCTGCTGCAGCAGCAGACAAGGCAAGCCACAGGAGGTCTCGTGCTGCTGCTCGTCAGGGCCGCCCGCAAGACACGGGGGACTTCAATGGCAGCAACAGCAGCAGCAGCCGCAGCAGCAGCAGGAGCAGCAACAACAACAACGGCAGCAGCAGCAGCAGGAGGCAGCGACACGGGGGCTCTGCTCCACCGGGGATCAATCGGGGCGACAGCATGCAGCAGCAGCAGCAGCAGCAGCAGCAGAGGTGGCAGCAGCAGCAGCAGCAGCAGCAGCAGCAGCAGGCGATACCCTACGGTACTTGTGCCCTCAATGGCACGAGTGTGAGCTGCAGCGAAGCGGTGAGGGTTAACCAGGCGTTGCTGCTGCAGCAGCAGCAGCAGCAGCAGCAGCTGCAGCAGTCTGGGGCGAAGCTAGATGAGGAGAGTGCAGCATTGGAGGTAGAAGAGCAGCGTATGCTGCTGGCTCTAGCAGCAGCAGCAGCAAGACAGCAGCAGCAGCAGCGCCACGCAGCAGCAATCCTTGACGGCCAAATTTCTGTGCAGCAAAATGAAATGGATATAATACGCATGCAAATGCAGAATATGCGAGCAGCACTGGAGAGCTGCAGAGCAGCAGCAGCAGCAGAGAGAGAGGAGTTCTTACGTCTTGCTGCTGAGCTTCGTATGCAACGATACACCACCAGCAGCAGCAGCAGCAGCAGCAGCAGCAGCAGCAGCAGCAGGTACTCGCTCTCCGCTAGACAGAGACTCATGCTGCTGCTGCAGCAGCAGCTGCAGCACTACAACTCTATGGCTGCTAAAGCAGAGATGCAGCGGCAGAGAAGCGATGAGTTGCTGCTGCAGCAGCAGCAAGCTTCAGCAGAAGCTGCTGCTAGTCTGCAACAGGAGCAGCAGCAGCAGCAGCAGCAGCTGCAGGCAAAATACTCCGTGCTGATGAGCAGAGAGATGCAGCAGCAGCAGCAGGTGGGGCGGTCCCTTGCGGAGACAGAAGAAAGGGTTGAGGCCCTGAGGATAAAGGAGCAGCAGCTGAGGTACGAAGCAGAGCAGCAGCAGCAGCAGTATCTGCAGCAGCAGCAGCAGCTGATGGAGCAGCAGCAGCATGAACGCCTTGCTGCACTGGAGGCAGAACGGCAGCAGCAGCAGCAGCAGCAGCAGCAGCTGATAGAGGAATATCAGCAGCAGATGGGGGAACTGCAAACCCTAAAGGAGCAGCAGCAGCAAGAGCAGCAGCAACTCGAAGAAGCACTTGAGCAGCAGCGGCAGCTGCTGCAGCAGGAGCAGCAGCAGCTAGAAGAGGCCCACAGACAGCAGCAAGAGGCTCTGCAGCAGGAGATGCAGCAGCAGCAGGAGCTGCGGCAGCAGCTGCTGGAGGAGCATCAGCGGCAGCAGGAGCTGCTGCAGTTGCAGAGAGAAGAGCTAGAGAAACAGAAGCAGCAGCTGCTGCAGGAGGAGCAGCAGCGAGCAGCAGAATACGAAAGACAGACAGAACAGCTGCAGCAGGCTCAGCAGCAGATGGAGCAGCATGAGTTTGAAGTGCAGCAGCAGCGGGAGGAGCTGCTGCGGCTGCAGCAGCAAATGCAGCAGCAGCAGCAACTGGCGCTGCAGCAGCACGAAGGAGATACAAAGCAGCACGAGACGCAGCTGCAGCCAAGTGAGCAGCAACTGCAGCAGCAACTGCTGCAGCAGCAGCTGCTGCAGCAGCAGCAACAACTGCTGCAGCAACGGCAGCAGGAGCAAGCAGAGCTAGAACAGCTGAAGCAGAAACTACTGGAGGAGCAGATGCGCTCTTCGCAGCTGCAGCAGCTGCAGCTGGAGCAGCAGCAGCAGCAGCAGCTACAGCAGCAGCAGCTTCAGCAGCAGCTGCAGCAGCAGCTGCAGCAGCAGCAACTGGAAGAGCAGCAGGGGCAGCAGCTGCTGCAGCTGCATGAGGATCAACAGAAACAGCAGCAAGCAGAGCCTGTCTCTGCCCCCGCAGGAATGCAGCAGCTAGACGCATTGGTTGCTGCTGTGCGTCAGCAGCAGCAGCAGCTGCAGCAGCAGCAACAGCAGCTGCAGCAGCAGCAGCAGCAGCAAGCGGATCAGCAAGCTGCTGCACCCCGTCCCCCGTCTCCTGCCCTCACCAAGGAGGAGCAGCTGCAGCGCATTGAGCTGCTTGAGGTGAGTATGCTGGGGTGTATGTACACCATAATTTTTTTTTTTTTTTTCTTTTTTTTTTTTTTTTTTNTTTTTTTTTATTTGTTTGTCTTTGTTTGTCTTTGTTTGTCTTTGTCTTTAGGAGGAGCTGCGTATGAAGCAGCAAGCAGAGATAGAAGAAGCAAAGAGGGGATATAAGAGAGAGTTGCTGCAGCAGCAAACGCATGCAGTGCTGCAGCAGCCGCACGAACACCAAGCGGGGCTGCTTCCTGCTGCTCTGTCTCCCCCTACTGCTGCACCTGTCTCTTCTCTGTCTCCTCTCAGGGCCCCACAACATATATACTCTTCTTTGTATGAGCCTAGAGAAGCAGCAGAACGAGAGCACTATAAGCTACTGAACGAGGAGCTGCAGCGGCGGTGTGTTGAGCTGCAGCAGCAAGTGCTGCAGCTGCAGCAGCAGCAGCAGCAGCAGCTGCAGCAAAGTGGCAAACTGCAGCAAGAACAAATTGAGTTTGCTTCAGACAAACTAGCAGAGCTAGAGAAATATACAAAGGCCCTGGAGCAGCAGAATAAAGAGTTGCTGCAGACAGCAGAAGCAGCACTGCAGCAGCAAAGACAAGAGCATGAAGCGGAGCTGCAGCAGCTGCAGCAGCAGCAGCAGGGGAAGCAGCAAGAACTAAAGCAGCAGATGCAGCAGCAAACACAGCAGCACGAGCAGCAGATACTACAAGAAAGAGAAATGCTTGCTTCTTTCTTTAAGGCAGAATATAATAAAGTAATAGGGGAAGCAGAGGAGCAGCAGCAGCAGCTGCAGCGTACACAGAGCCTGCTGGAGGAGGCACGAGTGCAGCAGCAGGGTGTACATACACTGCAGCAAAAGACAGAAGAAGCGCAGCAAGAAGCAAGAAGGTTTGCTGCTGAGTATCGTGCTGCTGTGCAAGAGAAGGAGACAGCTGTTGCTGCTGTGCAGCAGATGAAAGCACTAAAAGCTGCAGCAGAAGAGGAGACAGAGAGACTGCAGCGGGAGAGTGAGGAGCTAAGAAGACAGCAGCAGCAGCAGCAGCAGCAACTGCAGCAGGAGAAGGAAGCACTGCAGCAGCAGCTGCAGCAGGAGAAGCAGAAACTGCAGCAAGAGGTGCTTCAAGCGCAGCAGCAACTAGCAGCAGAAAGAGAAGAGATGAAGCTGCTGCTGCAGCAAGAGAGAGATAGTATAGAGCAGCAAAAAGAGAAAGAGAAGCAGCAACAAACAAGAGAAAAAGATAAAAACGAAAGAACACATAAAGCACTTATAAAGAAAATAGAGGAAAAAGAAAACGAATCAATTATAATAAAACAAAAAGCAGAAGCAGCAGAGTTTGAGAGAAAGGTGCTAGCAGCAAGATGTGAGAAGCTAGAGAGAGAGCTGGAGGAGCAGCAGCAGCAGCAGCAGCAATATGCAAAAGAGAGACATAAAACACTAGAAACACAACTATATGAAGAAAGAGATATAAATAAAAAACACACAGAGAGACTAAAAAGATTACATACAGAGCAGCTAGAGGAGCTGCAACAGAAATACGAAGCAGCAATCAATACACTAAAACAAAAAGGGACAGAAAAAGCAGAGAAAAAAGTTTATGTGTTGGAGCAGAGACTAGCAGCACTGGAGACAGAACAAGAAGAAAGAAAGAAATGCATGCAACAGCAACATAAAATACAACTCGATCTACAAAAAGAAGAAGCAGATAAAGAAAAAAATATATTAAAAACACAAATGGAGACACTCAAAAATAAAATACAAGGAGACACGGAGACACTCAAAATTAAACATAAACAAGAAACACAAAATATAGAAGATAAATGGAAACTAAAACTTACACACGCTACACAGAAGGCTGAAGGTAAATACATACAATGCTTTGCTGCTCCTGCTGCTGCTGCTGCTGTTCCTAGTGCTGCTGCTGCTGCTGCTGCTGTTGCTAGTGCTGCTGCTGCTTGTGCTGATGCTGCTCCTTGTGCTGCTGCTGCTGCTAGTGCTGCTGTTAGTGCTGCTGCTAGTGCTGCTGCTGCTGCTAGTGCTGCTGTTAGTGCTGCTGCTAGTGCTGCTNATCTAAACAATTCTTTTTCTTTGTTGCTGCAGTATTTTATTTATATGTTGCTGCTGTGTGTCTTTGTCTGCTGCTGCAGCCCTAGAAGAGCAGCTAGCTGAGGAGAGACAGAAAAGGAGACAGCTGGAGAGGTTTAGGGGTTCTCTGCTGCAGCGGCTAGAACAGCTGGGGCAAGAAGCACAAGACCTAGATAGAAGACTGAGTGAAATAACTACAAAATACGAAACAGCAAAAGCAGGGAGAGACGCAGCACTGGCGCAGCAGGATATATTAGAGGAGGAGACAAAGCGGTGTAAGCAGCAGCAGCAGCAGTTGCTTCGTGAAGCAGAAGAAACACAGCAGCAGCTGCTGCTGCTGCAGCAGCAACTGCAACAAAAAAATAAACAACTCGAAACAGCACGCAGCATGCAGGAAAAAACAGCAGAACAACTCAAAGCAGCCAACACAGATATACAAAAAAAAAAACAAAATATTATAAACACTAACGACAAGTGTAGGTCTCTGCAGGAGGCCCTAGAAGCAGCAGCAGCAGAAGCAGAAAACAAAAAACAACAAGCTGCAGCATACCAGGTAAGAACGCATGCACTGTATATACACCTCAATCCAGGTGTTTATACACCGCAGCCGGGCTGTATAGACACCTCACTCTGCATGCATTATACACCGCAGTTCGTGTGTATAGACACCGCAGAAAGTATATGTAGACACACAACTGTCAGCTGNTGCATTATACACCGCAGTTCGTGTGTATAGACACCGCA